CCGGTACTTGGATTTTATGAGTAGCCTTGTTCTTCAACCTCTCTTCCCTGATTCCCTCAGCCGTTCGTCAGTGTCATGTTTCGCACCCCAAAGTTATCCATGTAAATCCGTTGGTGTTGGTGACACCTCCTGCATAACCTACAACCCCCACCTCGAATTCTCCTTACCTCTATCATCGCCATTGCAACCTCCGTGATATCGCCACCTCTGACTCAAACTTCGCCTTGCCTCCGTCGTTGTCGATGCCACTACCTCAGTGCAAGATCGCTTTCGACAATGTTGTCATCGTGCAGGGTTGTCACGGCTTCCATCTGAGGAAACATTGATCACGAAGAAGCCATACGATTAGAAACTGGACCGAGAACTGTACAGATTTTAGCCACGTAAGCTATATATTATCAGGATTTCGATGCATGTGTCATGCATGCATAAGAATATGATCATAACTTATATTGACTGTTGTACATGATTACGAAGGAAAAGGAAGATAATTCTCTCACGAGTTTTCTTCCTGACTTGTGAAACAACTCCATCCAATTCTTCACGTGTGTCATTTGTAGTGTACCTCCAAGAGTGTCCAGAGACCAAATTCGGTCCAATGTCCCCTGAAGTGGGAGAAAATGATGTCCATTGCGCTCGTCTGAGTCGTCTCACTCGGTACATAAAAATGGACAAGAAAAAGTCAGCTAAATTGTTTTCAAGAAAGCGAAACCACATGTAAAGAACACGAGTTACTTCCAGATATATAGAAGCAAAACTTGTACGTACTCTATAGTCATGGCTCGCTAGGAGCTAGGGTTTATCCGTAAGGTGGATTTGCAGGCGGCTTTGCGCATGTTCTAGAAGGCTTTGTGCCCACAGACATATCTGCCACCAGAAACCTTAATCGTCATCAGTACAAGTCATGTGATCTGTCATACTTGTAACAGCATGGCAATTGCAACCTATAATTTCTTTTGAGTCATACGCCGCCGTATAAGACATGGATGAAGATTTCATGGGACATCAGGGAGCTTGAGACTAATCCATACGCGGTTTCAGCCTTCCAGGAATGAGGACTCGCTGACCATCAACGTAGTGCGTACTCTCTGACTGGATAGCCGAAACAAAGGTCGCTCCATGGCATGGCACGCGTTCCTTCCTGCGGCGACGTCCAAACTGGGGTAGATGAAAAGGATGCAGTGCAACAGTCTCTTTCCACCCCCTTGGAGATGCTCGATCAGACCTTCGGTGAAACAGGGATGTACGCCGGTTTGTACAGCCACAAGTTATTTGATCGGCTGGATTGCGTTTGGATTTTACACGCCACTACGTGTCACAAGTATATTCATCATGGTTGGCAATCCCTCCTAACATTTTCTCCTAGTTCCACCCTATGCTGGTTTTATTTTCCTTGAAGATTTGGGTTGCTCTCGCCTACCTGTTCTGCTTGGCCCAACCGTTCAGTGTTGTCTATTGTTGATGAATAGCTAGGTTGGTGCAGGGGTTCAGATATTGTACTGCCGTTTGTTTAACCCAGCTGCTTTA